GCTAAAGGCTTCCTCAAACACATTCGTGTGTGGAGTAACTAGGGAGTATAATTGTTGTACCTTGGTGGTTTGGTGGGCTGACCATTTTTTATTTTTTTGTTGTTGTGAGGGTGTAATCTGCTTGACCTGGGGAGTTGCCCTTAATGCTAGTCGAGGATTGACTTTTGTGTCAACTTGCCTTGTGTTCCTCCATTTGAATAAAACTGGCAATGCAAGTTCTTAAATCATTAATGTCTTTGGGTGCATGCCAATAGAAGCATTTGAGAAAGGTTTTTCCTTTAGTGTGTTTAACATGACAATAAAGGCAACTTGAGGGTAAAGGTATTGTATCTTATTAGTGATGATAGAGAACCTTTCCATGAAAGTTTAGAGTGATTCATTGTCGTCTTGTCTCATATTGAGCAACACATATATGGAAGTTTCATGAGGTCTGGTGGTAGTGAATCAGGCTTTGAATAACTATGCTAGGACGACATAACAAACTATACTGAACATTAGTAAACACATACCATAACAACAATGGACCTTAAAGCATTATGGGAAAAATCTTGCACATGACCATGTCGTCTTGGGTGTAGAGGTGCATTTTGGTTTCATACATGGCTAAGTGGACGTTCGAGCAAGTCAATCCATCATATGTTTTCATGATGAGATGCTTCCAACCTTAAGGAAGTGGCATGGATGACTGTGATGGTCGCCACCAAGCCATCTCAGGGGGATTTGAAGGGGGGAGTGGCTCTCCTCGCAAAATTGGAATTCCTACACGATGCATATGTCTTGGGATGATCTAGAAGGACTATACTTCTCCATTGTTGAGATGTTGGTTCCTAACTGAGTGTCATTGATCTATCGGCATAGGGCCTATAGTTGTTGTTCATAATGTGTGTGATCAGCTTCGTAGCACATGCAATCAGTCTCATATTGTTGGCATAGTGTAGCTAGAGCTTCTTTGTTACGTTTCTATGTGACTTTCATGCATTGTAGTAATTTAGCATCATATAGGGGAATATGTGAGTCTGTGGTGCTCGTGGCCACCATGGGTTCCATGAGTAGGATTGTCGTGGCCACAGAGGTGAGAGGCTATTGTTTAGAGATAAAACTTACGTTGCCATTTGTTGTGGAGATTCCTACTATGTTGTTGTTTATCATTTGATTTCAGGTGAAAACCATGTGTAGCTAAAGGATAGTTTTACTTTAGTCCCACGATGGGCGTCGAATGTTCTTATCAAAATTCGCAACTGCTTCAACGATGGGATGATATCTTCGTTGCTTCAATTTTTGTAATAGTGTGGCACCTGCAAAGACACTTTGATGCTTAAGTTAGAGGTTAGTCTAGGTTAAGAATGAGATTAAGGTAGAATGATACTTGGTCCCCATATATAGGTAATTTAATAATATTGCATGATTTTAGGAGATAGTCTCACATGATATTTGCGATTATGCTTTTATGTGGTGCTTAATGGCAAAGATATTGCCTCTCCAATGTTACTCTTCAATATGTCCTAGGATTCTTAGAAATATGATGCAAGGATTGTCCCCTGACAATGCTTGGGTGATATTCAGGGTTTAGTGAGTTGAGTTCGACTTGGTGGAGTTATGCTCTTGAGGAGTTCGGCTCAACTTGACTGGACTGACAATACACAATAGAATTTTTAATTTAATATAATAATTTTTTACAGACAGTGTTGACTCACATTCAACTGGTAGTAAACACATTGACCAAATACCTAAACCAATTATAATTGAGTAGTGTAAAATTTATCAAACCTAACTCAATGACCTAACCCAACCATTAAAAATGTTATTGAGTTGATTCGAGTAGGTTCGATTTGTAGGTGAGTTATTACCCCTAGTATTTTGTTATCTTTGCTAATGACTTTTGTGTTTATCATATTGTCAAATAATCATTTCTAATGATATCCACAACTATATTTGATATCATGTTAGTATACTTAAAATAAATTTTATTTATTTATTTTAAAATAAAAATAAAGAAAAATATAGGGTCAAAAGAAAAAAAAAATTGCTCATGTTTTAACAAAAACAACAATTCCAAATTTTTGAAAAATGAAAAGAACTTATTTTTATAGGAAAAAAATTGCTCATTTTACATAAATAAAAACATATTTAAATTTTTTTAATTCCCAATAAATCACATCAATCGTACATCTTGTTAATTATAATCAAATTAATTATAAACATAACTATTTAAATCATGTTTGGAAAAGTCATTTATAAACATAACTATTAAACATAATTATAAACATCTTGTTAATTTCAACATTACCGATTAATGAAAATTATAATTTTGAGCATATTCTTAAAACTCAAGAGCAAGAGTGAAAAAATGTTAATATTTAGAGGACTAGTATAACTATAGATATGTGGGTAAATGCTATTTAGAAAGACATGACATTACGGAGAATTATTATTATTATTATTATTATTATTATTATTATTATTTATCCAGACATTGTTATTTTTTTATTATTTTTATATTTGATTCTTTTTAAATTTGAATATATGAAAAAAAAATTAAACTCTTATCTTATGTCAAAAATCTACGAAATTCTGCAAAGTTCACAAAGTCCCGCAAAATCTATTAAAATCATAACTTAAAAGTCTTTCAGAGTCCATTAAAATCCTTATTGAAAGTTTTATGAAATCCTACAAAATCTTAAAAGTCATGAAAATCATACAAAGTCTTTTAAAATCCACAAGACTTTTTTCAACTAAAAAAATCATTTAAAATCCTAATCCAATACACCCCCCTAAAGTCATAATTCAAACAAATATTTATGAAAAAAAAACACTTGTATATAAACTTTATTTTAAAAATTAACATGTTCATTCATGCAATATTGATCACAATTTTTTTTAATAAAGTCTCAAATTTAAATCTTATAAAGAAATAGTTATAAAATAATATCTTATTCAAGACAATAAAGTTTGTCAGATAAAAATTAGTTACTAATAATATCAATTTTTATTTTATTGTGTTTTTAAAGTTTTTGGAGAATTCAAGCACACTTTTCATTGATAAACATGTTGAAGGCTAACATGTGAAAACTAGTCATGTTTCTCACCGTGGGAAACTTTTTGTACCATTAAATGTATCATAAACATATTTTATGATAAAGTATTATTTACCACATATAATTATTTAATTAATATAATATTAAAATATGTATGTTAAGTATAATTTATATTAAAAATTTATTATTAAATTAAACATAATTATTACAAAATTTAATCTATACTTATATATTATTAATAAAGTAGATACTTTATTTTATTGTACATAATTTTTTTGACTATTTTAATTTATAATTATTTATTTATTTATTTTACTTGATATTCATTTTTCAAACTCTTTTCTTTTTAAACCAATCATTATTTTTATTTTTATTTTTATTTTTAAATAGAGTCACCAAGAGTCACTTTTTTCATAGTGCACGTAGAATACTTGTGTTATTGACAAATCAAGCTTGTAGAACTATTTTGTATGCTTTGAGGTCAAAGTTATAACTCTATACATCAGAAAGAAAAACCTATAACTTGTTCACGGGACTTCAGAGGAATCCGAATCCGATTACGCGGCCCGCAATCCAATACCCGACCCGTTTCCATCTTCTTTGTTGCTTTCGTTTTTTCAGATACTCAAATTCAAAACACTGCAAACCCTAAAAAATCCGTTTTGCACCACAAAGCGAATGGGGAAGAGAAAAGAGCG